TTGTTATAATGGCTTTTGGTGTCTTCATCATGAAACCGTTGCCCATTCCTATGTCCACAATGGTATTGCCTGGGTTGTATTGCAGCATTTTTATAATCTTAGCTTTACATTTAAGTCTTTAATCCATCTTTTTATTTTTGTTTATGGTATAAGAGGGGGTGCCGTTTCAATCTGCTGCATATGGCTAGCCAGTTAGCCCAACACCACTTATTGAATAGAGAATCTTTTCCCCATTGCTTGTTTCTGTCAGGTTTTTCAAAGATCAGATAGTTGCACACTTATTTATGAGTTCTATATTCAGTTCCATTGGTCTGTGTATCTGTTCTTGTACCAGTGCCGTACAGTTTTGATTGAAGTATAGTTTGAAGTCAGGTAACATGATGCCTCCAGCTTTGTTATTTTTACTTAGGATTGCCTTGGCTATTTGGGCTCTGTTTTTGTTCTGTATAAATTTTAAAATAGTTTTTTCTAGTTCTGTGAAGAGTGTCAGTGGTAGTTTAATAGGAATAGCATTGAATCTATACATCACTTTGGGCAGTATGGCCATTTTAACAATATTGATTCTTCCTATCCATGAGCACGGAATGTTTTTTCCATTTGTTTGTGTCATCTCTGATTTCTTTGAGAAGTGTTTTGTGGGTTTTGTAGCAATCTTTCACTTCCCTGGTTAGCTGTATTCCTAGGTATTTTATTCTTTTTATGGCAATTGTGAATGGGATTGTTTACTTGATTTGGCTCTTGGCTTGACTGTTGTATAAGAATGTTAGTGATTTTTGCACAGTGATTTTGTTGCATGATTCTATTTATATGAACTATCCATAAAAGGCAAATCTTTAAAGACAAAGCAGATTAGTGGTTACCTTAGGCTTACAGTAGAATTGGGGAATGAACATAAATTGGCATGAGGGATCTTTTGGAGGTGATACAAATGTTCTAAACCTGGATCATGGTGATGGTTGCACAACTCTGTAAGTTAACTTTAAAAACTAATGGAATTATACCTTAAAACACATGAATATTATGATATATAAAACCTGTGATTTTATGACACCTTGAAACTGCTTTTAAAAACTATTCACTAAAGAGAATTTAGAGGCCGGTTGTGGTGGCTTACACCTGTAATCCGAGCACTTTGGGAGGCTGAGGCGAGCAGATCACAAGGTCAAGAGATGGAGATCATCCAGGCTAACATGGTGAAACCCTGTCTCTACCAAAAATACAAAAGTTAGCTAGGCGTGGTGGTGGGCGCCTATAATCCCAGCTACTTGGGAGGCTGAGGTATCCAGGAGGCAGAGGCTAGTGAGCTGAGATTGTGCTGCTGCACTCCAGCCTGGGTAACGGAAAGAGACTCTGTCTCAAATAAAACGAATGTAGAAAGCTTCAAGAAAATAGAAAAGAGAAATCACAAAAATCACCCACAATTCTATCCAATAGAGACAATCACTATTAAAATTTTGGTGTTGCCAGGTGCTCACCTCTGTAATCCTAGCACTTTGGGAGGCTGAGGTGGGCAGATTGCTTGAACCCAGGAGTTCCAGACCAGCCTGGGCAATATGGTGAGACATCGTCACTACACAAGTAAATAAACAAATAAATAACTGGACTTGGTGGTTCATGCCTGGAGTCCTGTTTACTTGGGAGGCTGAGGCAGGAAGATTGCTTGAGCCAGGGAGATCAAGGCTGCAATGAGCTGTGATCGCACAATGAGCTGTGATTGTTTCTTTCAATATCTTTTTATTCAATTTCCTCCCCCGCCCCACGGTAATTTTTAAGACAGAATTTTGTAAGTGAAAAATTCTTTGAAAATGTTTTTAATAAGTGAAAAATTATTTTGGTGCAGTTGTCTTTGTGCAATTGACAGCAAAACACAAGGGGAAAGTAATCAGGTAATTTTTTGCCCTCTCAAAACTTTTTTTTTAATTTAATTTTTGTGGGTACATAGGTATATCTATTTATGGGATACATGAGATATTTTGGTACAGGCATGAAATGCATTAATAATCACATCCTAGAAAATTGGGTATCCATCCCCTCAAACATTTAGCTTTTGTGTTACAATTATACCCAATTTAAAATGTACAGCTAAATTATTAGTGACTATAGTCCGCCTGTTGTGCTATCAAATACTAGATCTTACTCATTCTTTCTATGTTTTCAATCCATTAACCATCCCTAACTCCTCCTTGTCCCGACTCACTACCCTTCTCAGCCTCTGGTAACCATCCTTCTTTTCTCTCCATGAATTTCATTGTTTTGATTTTTAGATTTCACAAATAAGTAAGAACGGGCAATGTTTCTCTTTCTGTACCTGAAATATTTCACTTAACATAATGGCCTCTAGTTTCATCCATGTTGTTGCAAAAGACAGAATGTCATTTTTTTATGGCTGAATAATAATCCATTGTGTATATGTACCACATTTTCTTTATCCATTAGTCTATTGATGGACATTTAAGTTGCTTCTAAATCTTAGCTGTTGTGAACAGTGCTGTTACAAACATGGGAGTGCAAATACCTCTTTGATATACAGATTTTCTGTCTTTCAGCTCTACTTTTAGTTTTTTGAGGAACCTTCAACCTTTCTTCGTATTGGCTGTACTAATTTACATTCCCACCAACAATATACAAGAGTTTCCTTTTCTCTATATTGTCACCAGCATTTGTTATTGCCTGACTTTTGCATATAAGCCACTTCAAAATTTTTCTTTAAAAAACTGTTTTTACTCTAAGATTTCCTTTTTTTTTTTTGAGACTGAGTTTTGCTGTTGTTGCCCAGACTGGAGTGCAGTGGTGTGATCTCAGCTCACTGCAGGCTCCACCTCCTGGGTTCAAGCGATTCTCCTGCTTCAGCCTACCAAGTAGCTGGGATTATAGGCATGCACCACCATGCTCCACGAATTTTGTATTTTTAGTAGAGATGGGGTTTCACCGTATTGGACAGGCTGGTCTCAAGCTCCTGACCTCAGGTATTCTGCCTGCATCAGCTTCCCAAAGTGCTGGGATTTACAGGTGTGAGCCACCGTGCCTGGCCTTAAGGTTTCCATTTTGTATACTCTTGGCATTTTGAAATTTAACTGCTCTAATGACCCTGAAGACCTACGAATATGAGGATTTCTGGTTTTTTTGAGTGACATTTCTAGTAACAAATCAGTTGATCAGCAAAGCTCTGTTCTGTACTCATTGTCTTTGCACTGTTATTCCCATGAAATTATAATTGGCTACATTTTGTAGAGACATAGGCTATCGTGGTATTCAAGAATTTAGGGAGTCAGAAGTCAGGATCTTTATCTCTACAGAAATAAAATGCCATCTTAAGGAAATCCCCAATATATTTATTAAGCTTATTAATTTCTCCCCTCCTCCCAAGTGGTAATCACTCTCCTGATTTCTAATAATATAGTTTTGTTCATTTTTTAACTTTACAGAAATTGAGTAATGTAGTTTGTATTCTTTTTTGTGTGTGGCTGCTTTTGCTCAATATTTTGCTTTGAGATTATTCTCAATTTTTATCTTAGTTCAAAAAGAAGGAATAGAATTGATGAACTTGAGAAAATCAAACTAAGATGACTAGTTTATGATTAAAAAACACCTCTGTGAATCTTCCAGTAAAATTGATCTTTCCTTCTTTAGAGTCCCCACCATATCCTGTACAAACATCCATCCCAGCACCTAATAACACTTTTTTGTACTTTATGATTTTATTTGTCTACTACTAGACTGTAAATCCCTTAAAGGCAAACCATGTCTCAGTAATAGTCACATCTCTAGTTCCTGGATAGACCCCCTAGCATAAAGAGGCACTTAGCAAATGTATAAGATAAAAAGAAATAAAATGTATAAGGTATAACTAAATGTGATACTTTAATATGTACTTGTTGACTTTTTAGTCTGGTAAAATGTACATGACCTAAAACTTACCATTTTAACCATTTTTAAGTATACAGTTCAGGGGCATTAAGTATATTCAGAATTGTGTGAAGTTTTAAATAGTGTTGTACAGTATAGCGTGGCAATAGGTACCATTACTAGAAGAAGGCCTATGGATGGTAAGACCAGGGGTATTACCATTTAGTGGTAAATTTCCGATAGTAAAGGGTCTGACTTTCAGCACTGCAAGCCCAAAAATTGAATGTTTTTAGTATAATTAGAGGTGACTATGCTGTGAATGAAAGACTAGAAATTTTTTAAAAATAAGAAATAAAATGTCAATAAACAACCCTAGTTTATTAATTTATGGTAGAGATATTCCTTTCTAGTGATGCAAGGTGTCATTCCTGATCAGGACATCCACTTGCCCACTTTGATACCTAAAGAACTTTATTCTTTACCCAGAGAAAACTGATGAGCATAAAATTAAAATTAAAGTAAGTACACAATCTTGTTCAGCCCATAAGTTGTTGGCCTATCCACCTTCTCATGAATAGGTCCAGAATGCTCGTATTTTTCCATAATTTGGACACACTGATGAAAATGTTTCCCTAAAACATACTTCTCTGTTCTAGCCAATCTATTTTCCTATAATCATGTTGGTTTTTGGAAGGGTTGATATGATTGCTCAGGCTAGGTAACTGCCACAAAGTCTGTGTCTTCTGCTTATCGTGTGATTTGAATTAACTCTCTCGGGCAGGCTCTTACTCCCTTATCCTCAAGGAAATATGTTTGGAGGGGCTCTGAAGGAAAAGTGTGGGAAAAGGGACAAGAGCGAAGGAAGGATGTTTTATCTTCATGGTCAAGTTTTAAATTGTCATCTAGTAAAGAAACGTTTTTTAGAAAATGATTATTAGTGATTTTGCCTTTGAACTGTTAACATTTTTATATGAGCCTAAATTTGTTTTCCTGATTTAGGCATGTGATTTTTGGTTCGTAGGAAGATTGAGATTTAGTCTTAAAAGCATATAAATGACCTTAAGTACAGGCATTAAAAGTTGGATTTGTAGTCTTAATAATATATACATCTTGGATTTTATTTAATGTAATTTTGCTGTTTTAAATACTAACAGGTTGCTCTCAAGGGAGTGGTATTTTACATTGTGCTCATGGCGACACTCAGCAGACTCACCTGTTGAAGCAAGGTAAGAATGAAGCATTCGAGCATACTGTTCTTTTTCCTTTTCCTATCTTAAATTTACATTTTTAAAATATGCAGGAAGAAGCTCCATGAGCACTGGTCTCAGTGGTGGGAAACGTCCTAGTCAGGAAGAGGACTCACAGAGTATTGGTCCTAAAGTCCAGAGACAGAGCACTAATTAGGTAAATATTTTAGAGCTTTATTTCTTGCTTTAGTAGAGCATATAACATAAATTAAGATAATTTCAAAAATGGAGCAAATCTCTATGTTCAAACTAGAAAATCATGAGGCATTAATTTTTAAGCAGTTGTTACAGAAACAGTTAATTTTTGGCCAAGAGAGATGCATCTGTACTGGACAAATTGTTGTGCCAGTTTTATAGTCATCTGAATCAATCTCTTTAAATTAAAAATGTTGATTTTGTGATCAAGCTTTTTCTTGAACAGTTTTTTCATTTTCTTGTTATGTAACTGAGTCTAAAACAAAGTGGCCTCTTTATTTTAGTGACATTAATATAAGCTTTTTTTTTATAAACTTTCCCCCAAATCATTGCCTCTTAAATGTTTATAAATTTCTTTTATCTGTTGTGATGCTTCTAAAATCTAAATTATTTCCAATTTGGGAATAGTTTAAAATTTCCTAAATGCTGGCCCTAAGTATGAGAAAGCCTTGCCTGCATTCAATTTAATTGGCTTTGGGATGCCATTCTGTGATTTAAATTAATATGAAAAGTATTTATATGGCACATTTGCCAGTTTTTAAAAACTTTTTGTTTCTTCAGTTATCTTACACTATTTACATTTTTATTGCTTAGTTTTTTATGCCAACCTAATTAGACTATAAATATCTTGAAGATAAGATCAATAAACACTCATAACATTTTTGTCGTTGAATTATTTGCAATCAAGCTTTACCTAGTTTTTTTCCACCCCTTAAATCACAGAAAACATTCAGGAGGAATACTGTTGCAGCTGAAATTGGTGAGGAGTTCAGTACTTTTCAATTAAGTTATTTAAAAATATTCTTCATTGATGGAAAGCAGTTACATACTGAAATATGTTGTTTCAAATGACATTTCTGTGGTTTTTAACTTTTTAATGAATTTCACAGAAGACAAATGGTAATTTGTATATAAAGAACTTGGCAAGATAATTTGCTTAATGTAAATATAAATAGTCACAATTAGTATAGAACCATCAGTATATTTTTGATAATTTTTCATGTATGGTAAAAGTTAAAATGACAAATTGATATTCTGATATAAAACTCAAAGTTTTGACAGTTAGTGGTAAAAAAGGAGGTTTTTAGACTTTCTTAAAAGACTTTGTTAAAATTTTAGGACAGAATTTTCTTGACATTGTTGTTTGATCTAACTTTGCACTCTTTGATAATAATGTTTTAGATAACATGCATAATCAAAATTGGTATTGTAGCCTGTCACAGACAGTATATGTTTTCAACTTTCATGTAAACCTTTTTTGACCCAAACTTGTAGAAGTTTGTGTTGTGTTAATTTATGTGTTAAGTTCTCTTTGTCTCTGTTTCTTTGTTATTACTAAAATGACCTTGTTATTAAAGTATGTGCAAATATGAAATCTTGTGTATGTGGTTTTTTGTTTTTTTTTTTTTTTCTTTTTGGTAAGGAAGAGAACATTGCTGGGTGATATATGATTACAAATTACAAAGAGATTCTATAAACCACATGACCATTTTGAAAGAAGGAACAACTACCATATGTTTAGTTAAACAGTATTTTTCAAAATTATATGCAAGAAAGATGTAAAACCAAAGGGATTTTTTTCAAGTAATGGCATTTGTAACCATAAATCAGGCAGTATGGGCTGGCAATCAATAGACTGAGCTCTAGAGTCAAATGTCCAGTTCTGCCATTCATTAGTGTTGAGATCTTGAGCAAGTTTAACTTTCTGTGCCTTCTTTCTTCTCATCTATAAAATGGGGGTAAAGGTAATATCTGCCTTGTAGTTCAGTTCCATGCTTATGAGCTGGCATGTGATAGGGTACTCGGTAAATGTTAGCCACAGTGCTGCCATGCTGTGTCACCCCCCTGGTGTGTACAGTGCACAGTCTGCATAGCTGTGTGCCACGGCTCTGGCTGGCTGCCATTATTTTTATTACTATTGTTATTATCCTTTTACTATTCTCTAGTAGGCTAGTTCTTGCGATTCTGAATTACAACCTGGCTTTTCATTTTCCCATCATTAGTCGTGATAGATATTTAGTATGATAGTTATGTTTAAAGATAGCCAAAGATTAAAAAATTGAGTCAAAAATACAGAAACATTAACATTTTAGATGATAAGCAGTTTTTAAAATATCCTGGTTAGTTGAATTAACAATGATCAGTAAATTCCATTACTGAGGCTGGGTGTGGTGTGGCTCAAGCCTATAATCCCAGCACTTTTGGAGGCTGAGGTGGGAAGATCACTTAAGCCCATGCTTAATCCCAGGAGGCTGAGGCTGCAGTGAGCTGTGATCATGCCACTGTACTCCAGACTGGGTGGACAGAGCAAGACCTCATCTGAGCTGGGTGTGGTGGCTCATGCCTATAATTCCAGCACTTTGTGGGGTTGAGGCAGGAGGATCATTTAAGTCCAGAGTTTGAGACCCGCCCTGGAGACTTAGCAAGACCCCATCTCTATTTTTAAAAAAATTAATATAAAAATTAAATATGTAGTAAAGAACACCAGGCACAGTGGCTCATGCCTGTAATTCTAGCACTTAGGGAGACTGAAGCAGGATGATCACTTGAGACCTGGAGTTTAAGATTAACCTGAACAACATCTTGGGACCTCATCTCTACAAAAGAAAAAAAAAATTAGGCAGGTGTGGTGGTATGCACCTGACGTCCCAGCTACTTGAGAGGCTGAGGTGGGAGGATGGCTTGATCTGGGGGTTTGAGGCTGTAGTGAACCATGGTGCACTCTAGCCTGGATGACAGGGTGAGACCTTGTCTCAGTGGTGGGGGGGAAAATCCATTACTGAGAAAAAATAAAAATCCTGTGTTTTATCGTTCTTTTTTCATCATTGTTAAAGTAATATTTTAATTGTTTTTCATCGTAACTGTACCTCACATCCTACTCTTTGGACCTGGCTGTACAGTGCAGAGTTGAGAAATTCATAGACCTGAGATTTACCATCACTGTCCGGGAGCTCAAAGATTCAGTTTTAGTGTGAATAAATAAGCATTTTAGTAAAAGAACACGCGCTGGTAGACTATTTGTAAATGTAAGGGGATTTTGTTTTATTTTTAAGGGAGCTTTTTGAAAAGTTTTTTTTTCAGTTTGGTATAAATTGTCAAAATCACTAAAAGGAAAAGGAAAGGCATTGATCATTGTGCTCTACTTGAGCACATACACTGTGTTCAAATACAGTATTCTCCCCGTAACTAGAAATCCTACTTGTGGTTGAGGGATTTAAGACATTTTACTCATTTAACAAATACTTCTTCAATTCTTTTTTTTTTTTTTTTTTTCCTGAGACAGCTCAGGCTGGAGTGCAGTGGCGCGATCTTGGCTCATTGCGGCCTCTGCCTCCCAGGTTCAAGCAGTTCTCTACTTCAGTCTCCCAAGTAGCTGGGATTACAGGCACCCGCCACCATGTCTGGCTAATTTTCGTAATTTTAGTAGAGACAGGGTTTCACCATTTTGGCCAGGCTGGTCTTGAATTCTTGACCTCGTGATTCACCCGCCTCAGCCTCCCAAAGTGCCGGGACCACAGGCGTGAGCCACCACACCCAGCCACTTCTTCAATTCTTATTGCCAAAAACTGTACTGACAACTTGGAAAAATTATATTGAGAGAACCAGGGTTTTTAATGAACCTGTGCAGAGTCCTTATGTTTTTCACATTTGCTTAAAATAAATTAGTAAATTTGAGATATAAATGACTATCAGTATTTTTAATGCTTCCCTTTCATACTAGAAATATCAGAATCTTCCCACAATTCAAATGTGTTTGTAATTTTCTTGTACATAATAACATAATTGTAAGTTCTTTTCCGTTTTTCTTCATTCAAGGTTTTTTTTTTTTTTTTCTGATTATGTGGTCCTAGAAATGCACTGTTTAAATATTTGGGCTGGAAAAAACTTTGAGTAGCATTTATTTAATACAATTGGCATAACTGATTTGTCAGTTTCGAGTTTTTATTAACAATGCTAGGGTTATTGTAATTCCTCACACAATTATGTGGAGCCGTATGTAATACGTGCTTCCAGCACCCTGGTGCCCATTTCCGCTCCCTCCCTCCTGACCAGTGATGGCAGCTTGCAGTTCTAAGTCCTGAGTTTACATTCCTCAGCTTCCTTCTATTTTCTGTATCCTAATTTCCTTTTCCGAAGTGCAAATGACACACTTTGGTTAGTCTGGACCCCTAATTGTTTTATTTCAGGGAAAAGTATGCAATAAATCTATGCATCATAGAGTTTTTATATACAGGTAACTCAGAGAAGGGTTGCTGGACAGACACCTCCCCCCCAGCCCCCCGCAGTACACATGAGTTGCTCAGATCTCTCCAGAATATCCTAGAAATCAGAGTTGATCTTGAGGAGCCAGGATTCTTGCTGCTACTCTGTGGAGTTAAAATACTGAGCCTCTCTCAGTAAAGCCTGTTGAGCCTAAACTGAATACTGAGACTAGAAAGATTTAATTAACATTTACTGTGTGCCGAGCATTGTTCACAGAAAAATAATCAGTAGCCTCAAGGAATTCACTCCACGGAGTGCGATGGTAGTCTAAGTATGCCCGTGCTGCCAATTATGGCAGAACTGTGCCCAGTGTGCTATGAATTCCTGACAGCAGGGACCTCCAGCCTGGGAAAACCAGTTTTCCTAACTCCACACAAACGGAACCACTAGGCCCAATCAGGGCACCCTGTCCTCGATAACACTTAACTCTAGGTGTGATTAGTCACGTTATTAGTTGTTAATGTCTTTGCCCCCCACTAGAATGTAAACTCCCATAAGGACCGGGAATGTGTTTTATTCCCCCTCTATCTTCTCATTACTGTTTCAACATGCTTGATAAATGGTTGGATGGATAAATGTGAACATAAATTAGAGAGACATTGAGCCCGGCTTTATGGAGAAATTAATGTGTTTAGTGTATGAGGTTAAGCATCACTGGTAATAATTAGAATAGAAACCACGGAGCAGTTTATCAGAAAAGGTATGTGTTTAGGTGAAGGTAGCAAGGAGTGGGAGAAAGGAGATAGCTTTTAAAGACGAATTAGTCGCTAACTGCTGTGGTAGGGTAGGGGCGGGGAAGAGTTTAGATGTGTTTCAATAACTTTTGGTTTTTTAAAAAAAAAAAACATTTGTAAGTTGGTTCTTTACCTAATTGGATTATTTAGGGAATAGTTTTGAATTTTGAATGATTTTGGGAATAAGATTGGCTCTGTCTTAAAGATGTAGCAGTTTCTGTTTCTACTTTTTTTTTTTACATTTTCTAAGCGGCAAAGCGACTGGAACTCCGTTTCCTAAAATGCTGAGAAGGAAAGGGTGTGAAAATGCCGGATGCGGCTCCCAAGAAAATCGCTTGCCACTCCACCCGCCCTCTTGGTGCGGGAAGGGGCGCGTAGCTGTGTCCCGCGTTCTGATTGGCTACGCTGGGGCGCGGGGGCGTGCCTTCGGGGGGGCGCTCATCTCCCGACCCCTCATTGGCCGTGGGTGAAGGTGAAGGGGGGCGTGGCTTGGTTGGGGCTGCCGAGGGCCGCCTAGAGCCTCTTGGGACCCAGGACTGGGACCCAGGTTCCAGGCCTCAGGAAGACGGTGGACCACAGGGGAGGCTGGCCGGAGAGAGAGGGAAGGACAGGGCCTGGCCCTCGGGACTCCCTGTGCCTCGCTTAGAGCTAACGCCGACGGGTGAGTCCTCCCCTTCCTCTGTTTCTGGGCGCGTTCCTCACCAGCGACGCTGAGGCAGGGGTCGGAGCCGCCCTCAGCAAAATCCCACGCCTCGCCAGGCGCTCAGCTCAGCCTGCTGGGTTTCTCTGGAAAAGCGGAGGCCCCACAGTGAATGTGCGGCCTTTTGATCAGTCCCGGAGATCTTCCGTGGACCCTCGCTTTTCCTTGCTTATGAACATTGGTCAGTTTGAAACTGGCAACAGGGCATACGTGTTACAAAATCAGAACTTTATTGAAACCGGTGGTGGTGTAGAGAAGACCATACTAACCCTAACTGTGTGTATTACAGAAGTGAATTTCACTCCTCAAAAATGCTTAAGAAACAAGCATCCGAGAACAGCCCACATGGTGATTTAACATTTACCAAAAGCATTACTATATGTGGGGCACAGGACTCTGGAGCCAAGCCAAGAATTTGGTTTGAATCCAAATTCTCCCGTTTTTTAGCTAAGCAACCTTGGGCAAATTCCTTTACCTGCATCTGTTTCATCTTTAAAATGGGTTGTTGTGATCATTTAATGATTTAGTGTATGTGAAGAGTTTTCTGCATATTCTAAGTGATTTGTGGTATTGATCTTTGTAGTCACCAAGGAGATAGTGTCACCATTTTCCTGATGCCAAACTGAGGCTCAGAGAGGTGAAGTAAATTCCTCAAGTCACAACACAACTATTGTCCAGAGAGCAGGCAGTCTGGCTCCGGTAACCCAGTTTTACCCACTGCATTAAGTTACCACATCCACTTGTTCACTCAGCTTCATCCGGCAAATTCTGATTTTGCCCCTTTGTGGAACGAGTTATTTGCCAGGTGCAGGAAATAAAGCAGAACACTGTGCAGTTCCTGCTCTCCCAATGCTTATAAATCTAGTGCAAGTTGTTCATGGCTGGGCTGCAGGGTGTCCATGAATCCTGCTAAAATCATTTGTGAAATATTGTGAGTGTGGGTCTTTTCTTCTGGAAAGAGATTCTGACTCTCAGATTCTCAATTGGTCTGTGATCCAAACAGAGGTATGAAGAAGTGTTTTAGCCGAAGACCTGTGCCTAGTATGCCTGACACACAGCTTAAACTTCCAACAAAATTCCTATTGGTTGGATGAATGAAGAACTTGTAAGAGCATAAGTGCTGCAGTAGGGTCCGGAGCAGGGTGCTGTGGAAGAGCACACAGGAGGCCACCTGCCCAGGAATGCCTCCTAGAGGAAGTGAAGGCAGCTGGATGAAGGGTAGGGAAGCAGTTCATTGGAACACTGTAGTGAACAGTCTCTGACCATATGGAGTGTTGAGACAGAAACAACACATAAACAGCTGCAGCTGTTGTCCCACTTGTGCACAAGTGTAGAAGTCCATGGTGCCATGAAAGCCTATACTGGGGACAGGGGGCTTCACGTATTCATGAAGGTTAGAAAAGTTTCCTTGAGAAAGTGACACTTAGGCCTAAGAGTTGGAGCATTTTGGGCATGGAGTCTGGCCCACAGTCTTCAAAGACCACATAGTAGAAACCGGTAGAGCGCCAGGGACTGACAGGAAGCAAATTCAGCTGGTGCAGGAGAGGGAAATGGGAATGAGGGAGGTGGCAGAACCCAAAGAGGCCATGCAGGCCGTGGTAAGGCAGTTCTATGTTTTATTTTATTTTGTCTTTTTCCTAAAATGCCATTGGAAAGTTTATTGCAGGCCGCTGACAAGATCACATTTTGAGAAGAAGTTGGAAAGAACCCCAAGTGGATTAACTGAATATCTGGATGAGGACAAGATCTGTGGGGAGAGACTGTAAAGTAAGAAGAAGAGAGGGCTAGAACCAAGCCTTGAAGGTGAGCCTGCAGTGAAGACAGATAGAAGGTGGCCAGAAGTATAGAAAGGGAAAAGAACTAAAAATGTGGGGTGTCCAGGAAGTCAAATGAGAGAATCAAATGAGTGGTCAACTCTGCTAAAAGCTGCAGAGGTCAAAAGAGATAAGGAAGGCTGGGTGTGGTGGTTGCATGCCTTGTATTAGTCCTTTTTCTTGCTGCTGATAAAGACATACCTGAGACTGGGCAATTTACAAAAGAAAGAGGTTTAATGGACATACAGTGCCACGTGCTTGGGGAGGCCTCACAATCATGGCAGAAGGCGAAAAGTACATCTCACATGGCAGCAGACAAGAAAAGAAGTGAGAGCCAGGAGAAAGGGGTTTCCCCTTATAAAACCATCAGATCTCATGAGACTTACTACCATGAGAACAGTATGGGGGAAGCCGCCCCCATGATTCAGTTATCTCCCAGTGGGTTTCTCCCACAACACAACGGACTTATGGGAGCTATAATTCAAGGTTTGGATGGGGACACAGCCAAACCATATTACGCCTGTAATCTCAACACTTTGGGATACCAAGGTGGGCAGATTGCTTGAGCTCAGGAGTTCAAGAGCAGCCTGGAAACATTGTGAAACCCCATATCTACAAAAAATACAAAAAATTTAGCTAGATGTAGTGGCATGTACCTGTAGTCCTGGCTACTTGGGAGGCTGAGAGGAAGGATCACCTGAGCCCAGGGAGGTTGAGGCTATTGTGAGCCATGATCGTGCCACTGCACTCCAAGCCTGGACGACAGAGTGAAACCCTGTTTTAAAAAAAAAAAAGAATGAAAACTCCTCATTGTCCATAACCACATGGAAGTTATCTTTATTGCAAGCTATATAAGTAGAATTGGAAATGGAGAGAAAGAGGGATCCGCAGCAATTAGCTGAGGGCAAGAGAGAGAGAGAGGATTTGGGCATGGAGAGGAAGAGCAGTGGAGAGAGAGAGGGTTTGGGCAAGGAGAGGAAGAGCAGTGGAGTGATGGCTGGAGCATCAGAGGAGGATACAGCTGAAGGAGTGAACACTTGGAAAGAAAGGCTTGAGAGTTCTCAGGCCAGAGAGGCTGGGCTCAGCACAGGAGCAGGGACGACGCTGGATAATGAAAGGTGTAACTGTAGGGAAGGGGAGCTAGTGACAGCTTTATGTCTGCTGAGAGGAGCTGCTCTCCTTTCTTTGTACAGATTGGAGGTAAGGGCACTGGTTTTGAGTGAGGGTGAGTATGGAGGTAGGCGGGAGGCCAGACATATGAGTTGAGAAGATTTCAGGTAGTTGGTGGGAAGTGTGGAAGTGTGAGTCAACCAGAGCTTCTTTGAGGATGGTCTGGCAGGGGGAGTAAGTATGCAGCAAAGACCAGAAATGAGCCTCTTGGCTCCTTCGGGGAATTGCAAAGTAAGGGGATGAGGATGGAGGCTAACTAGAGACAAAAGCTACATTTAACATATGATAAAGGAGGCATCATAAGCCATGGGGAAGGAAAGGGTTGTTCAGAAAATGGTACTTAGAGAGAAGTAACCTATTGATAAAATCTGTTTAGATTCTCCGCTAACACCCAGAAATTTCAAATGAACTTAAGGAGCTAAGTTTTAAAATTCAAACAAAAATATGGAAGGAAATATGGATGAATTTTTACTGACCATCTGGTACTTAAAAGCAGTAAGACTCATAAAGGAAAACTTCCCTGACCTTCCTTTGACAATGTGAAATTAACTGCTTTGTTCTAACAGATGCTATAATATGGATGAGCTTTGATAAGATTATGCTAAGTGAAATAAGCCAGACACAAAAAGACAAATATTATATGACCCCACATATACAAAGTACCTAGAATAGGCAAATTCATAGAGACAGAAAGTAAAATAGAGGTAACTGGTGTCTACAGGGAAGAGGGAATGGAGAGTTACTGTTTAATGGGTACAGAGACAGAGTTGATGTGTTTCAGACAGTGGTAAATATGGTACAACATTGTGAATGTACTTTAAGCCACTGAATGGTACACTTGAAAATAGATTAAATGGTAAATTTTTTATTTCTATCTTATTTACCACAATAAAAAAAGTGGCTACTTTGGTATGCTGAATTATACCATCAGCAACTGAAAATAAGCTCAAGAAAATATTTCCAAAAATGAGATTATATCAAATAAATTTTTTTGTTTTTTGAGTTGGAGTCTCACTCTGTCACCCAGTACAGTGACATGATCTTGGCTCACTGCAACCTCTGCCTCCCAGGTTCAAGCGATTCCCCTGCCTCAGCCTCCCAAGTAGCTGGGACTACAGACACACGCCACCACACCTGGCTAATTTTTGTATATTTTTAGTAGAAATGGAATTTCATCATATTGGAAGGCTGATCTCGAACTCCTGACCTGATGATCTGTGCAAAGTGCTGGGATTATACAAGCATGATCCACTGTGCCCGGCTGCACAAGTTAATTTTTAAAAAGCAGAACGATAGCAGTTTTTCTCCTTTTTTTTTTTTTTTTTTGAGACAGAGTCTCACTCTGTCACCCAGGCTGGAGTGCAGTGGCATGATCTCGGCTTACTGCAACCTCTGCCTCCTGGGTTCAAGTGATTCTCGTGCCCCAGCCTCCCAAGTGGCTGGGACTACAGGCACGTGCTATCATGGCCAGCTAATTTTTTGTATTTTTAGTAGAGACGGAGTTTCACCTTGTTAGCCAGGAAGGTCTCCATCTTCTCACCTCGTGATCCGCCCACCTTGGCCTCCCAAAGTGTTGATATTACAGGCATGCACCACCATGCCCAGCCACAATCGCAGTTTTAAAAGGCAGGAATAGTTGATTCACAAAAGGAAATAAAGGTGACCAAAATAGTTTATTATGAAACATCACCCTCATCAATAATAAAAAGAAATTAGTGTCGTATCATTTTTCACATATCAAAATAAAAACTGATGAGAGAATCACTCATACTGCCTGTGAGAATGTCAATGGAGATAGTTTCTCTTGACAGGAAATTTAGCAGCTTCGCTTTCCAAGTGTTCACACATCTCTTCAGTCAGGAAATCTAGGAATTCATCCTAAAGGAAAAGCATATGAAATGTGGACATATATTCAGCGTATAGCAAAAATCACGATAGGTGTACCTGAATATGACGAAGAGAATCAATCCAAGCTGGAAAATACGCTTCAGGATATTATTCAGGAAAACTTTCCCAACCTAGCAAGGCAGGACAATATTCAACTCCAGGTAATACAGAGAACACCACAAAGATATTCCTCAAGAAGACCAACCTCAAGGCACATAATCACCAGATTCACCAGGGTTGAAATGAAAGAGAAAATACTGAGGGCAGCCAGAGAGAAAGGTCAGGTTACCCATAAAGGGAAGGCCATCAGATTCATAGCAGATCTCTCAGCAGAAACCCTACAAAACAGAAGAGAGTGGGGGCCAATATTCAACATCCTTAAAGAAAAGAATTTTCAACCCAGAATTTTACATCCAGCCAAACTAAGCTTCATAAGCGAAGGAAAAATAAAATCTTTTGTGAACAAGCAAGCACTCAGAGATTTCATCACCACCAGGCCTGCTTTACAAGAGCTTCTGAAAGAACCACTACAAATAGAAAGGAACAACCAGTATCAGCCTTTCTAAAAAATGCCAAAAAATAAAGAACATCAACATAATTAAGAAATTGCATCAATTAATGGGCAAAACAGCCAGCCAACATTAAATGACAGCATCAAACTCATATATATCATTATTAATTCTAAATTTAAATCGACTAAATCCCTCAATCCAAAGACACAGACAGGCAAAAAAAGCCAAGACCCATTGGTATGCTACATCCAGATCCATCTTACATGCAAGGATACACAAAGACTCAAAGGGATGGAGAAAAATTTACCAACCAAATGGAGAGCAAAAATAAATAAATAGAAAGCAGGAGTTGCAATTTTTGCTGATAAGATAGACTTCAAAGCAACAAAGATCAAAAGAAGCAAAGAAGGATATTACATAAAGATAAAAGGATCAATGTAACAAGAAGAGCTAAAGATCCTAAATATGTATGGGTATTTCTGTCTAAAATACAATTTAAAGTCATACAAGACTTTTAGCTCCAGAAATTTTACTATGTACCAGGCAGTGTCCAAAGTACTTGATATGCATTTTAACCCTTACAGAGTTTTCCTATAAGGCATAGATTATGTTCTATTTCACAGATTGCTGCTAGTAATACTCATCGAATCTCATACTCATAGTGAGGTACTCTTCTAATCACTGCTGTCTTATCTGCTGCCCCCTAAACTAGAGGCAGGATTGGGTGGGGGTAGTTGGCAGCACCCCACGCTCCTTCCTGACATGGGGGACAGGTGTGCAGCCTGAGCCTGTGGCGTCACACAACCAGGAATGGGGAGCAGGATCCCAGCCCCAGTCTCCCTGTGCTGCTTCATGCTGTGCCTCCTCCTTCCTGTTAAAGTTGATGGTCTTCTTAGAAATTTTTAAAATAATATTTTAATCTTGGCTTACAGTATTAGGAATTATCTGAAGAAATTTCTGGTTGAACTACTAAAACAAGCTATGTGTACAATTATTTTAGCCTCCTTAGGCACTCACAATGAGCTAAACCAAAATAGGAAACCAAAATGGAAAGAGTACCTAATTTTCCTAATAGAGTAATCATGTATTTGGATGACTTAGGACAGGGCTGAAAGTAAAGAGTCCCGAGCATACATGGCAAGGGCATTTAAATTAGAGTCAGGGATTGGAAATGGCTGCTTTCTGCTTTACTTTCACATGTATAAAGAATGAGGGAAGGCTGCCAACAGGCTAAATTGACCTGTACTACACACGTCTGTGGCAAGACTGAGACACTTAGAACATTCTCAGGTAGTAAAACAAACCAGATGTATTTTCGTTACCAGAGACAAAAGAAATAGTGGTAGAGTTCATGATACCACCCTGATATACGGACCATTTTGAATTAAAGGCACCTGAAAAACAGCAGGTGTAAGATCTGACTTTTCTTCTGTTCCCATGTGAAAGATACCCTCCCTATACCAAAAGGAGTAACATCCTTAACCTCAAGGATGAGAAATTGATACCAAAAGAATTCTGCACGGTCCTTGTTAAATTTTCTTTTAAATCTCCCCATGTTTCAGTTGCTTTTTCGGAGCTTCCTACTTTTTGTGCAACTCAGTACATAAATAACTGACTCTAACTGCTTTTTCGGGTCTTCAATTCCATACTAGGGCTCCCATGCCACATAAACTTGCATTAACTAAATTTTATGTTTTTCTCCTGTTAATGTATCTTATGTCTGTTTAATTCTCGGGTCCAGTCACGACCCTAACAGGATGGGGGTGTTTTGCTGCCCCTCCAGAGGCAAAGACTATTAATGTGTCAGACACAGTATAGCCATCTTAAGATACCTAAAGATGTCAAGTAGATAGCTGATTATACTGTTCTAAAATTACAGTCACCATTCTGCAGCTGACCTGATTTCCCATGGCACCACAGGAACAGTCATGTGGCATTTTTTCATTTTACTTGGCTAGGGATTACAGGTAACCACCACCACACCCAGCTAATTTTTGTATTTTTAGTAGAGACAGGGTTTCACCATGTTACCAAGTCTAGAACTCACAACCTCAGGTGATCTGCCCGCCTCAGCATCCCAAAGTGGTGCTGGAATTACAAATTATTTTAATTCTGGATTTATAAAAAAGAGTTTTGTTCACATAATTCTAAACATACATACACACACACACACACTCCATTTATTAACTCATTTAAAATAAAATAATTGGCCCATTTTGGGTGATACTTATTCAGCAAAATATTTACTCTGAAATATAAAATTAGAGATGACCCTTTCCCTCGCCCCCTTTATCTGCTTCAGGTAAACATCAACTTAATAATATAAAACATTTCAAAAAAACATGTTTGTTTGTGTGTGTGCATAATAGATGCCTCTTAAAAAAAATAAATTGTGGGAAAGGGAATTGGTATGAAAATAACATTTGAGGTCTGTGAACCTTTGAACTCTGGTCTTGCTGCTCATCTGTAAAATGGAAGTAACTCCACAATGTATTTACAAAGTATAAGATGTCAAAGTACGGAGAAGTGTATTACAATTACTTCAATTAATTATTTAGGAAGATTTTTTAAAATATTACACGAGTAGTTTTCGTCTAATTTAAATCCACCTTATTTCCCTACTTAGCTCAAATTTGTAAGTATATGTGTTCTGAAAGTCAACACCCTTATACTAAAAACCTTTATTTTCTTTTTTACAGATAGAATGAGTCCATTTGAGTCCCAGGACGGTGGAAACTAGCTAGAGGATTGCAGCCATGTTGTGGAAGCTGCTGATGAGATCCCAGCCCTGTAGGCTGTGTTCTTTCAGAAAGATGCCATCAACTCCAAAATATAGACCTTTCATAGCATGCTTCACCTACACAACTGATAGACTGTCAAGCAAAGAAAATACAAGAACAGTGGAAATGCTCTATAAATTTTCAGTTGACATTAGGAAAATTCGTAGATTGAAAGGATGGGTACTTTTAGAGGATAAAACCTATGTTGAAGAAATTGTGAATATTTTACAAGAACTAGGTGCCGATGAGACTGCTGTAGCCAGTATTTTGGAACGCTGCCCGGAAGCAATTGTTTGTAGTCCAACCACTGTTAACACCCAGAGAAAACTCTGGCAGTTAGTCTGCAAAAATGAGGAAGAGTTAATCAAGTTAATAGAGCAGTTTCCAGAATCTTTCTTTACTGTTAAAGACCAAGAGAACCAGAAGCTGAATGTTCTGTTCTTTCAAGAGTTGGGACTAAAAAATGTGGTCATTAGCAGACTTTTGACAACTGCATCTAATATTTTTCATAATCCTGTTGAGAAGAATAAGCAAATGATAAGAATTCTCCAGGAGAGCTATCTAGCTGTAGGTGGTTCTGAGGCCAACATGAAAGTTTGGCTACTAAAACTGTTAAGCCAAAACACATTTATTTTGTTAAATTCTCCCGCAGCTATAAAGGAAACACTAGAATTTCTCCAGGAGCAGGGTTTCACAAACTTTGAAATTCTCCAGCTTCTGTCCAAACTCAAAGGATTTCTTTTTCAACTTTGCCCAAGAAGTATACAGAATAGCATTTCCTTCTCTAAAAATGCTTTTAAATGCACAGATCATGACCTGAAGGAATTAGTTTTGAAATGTCCTGCCCTTTTATATTATTCTGTTCCAGTTTTAGAAGAGAGAATGCAAGGATTATTGAAAGAAGGAATTTCCGTAGCTCAGATAAAAGAGACGCCAATGGTTCTTGAATTAACACCACAAATAGTACAGTATAGGATAAGGAAACTCAATTCCTTAGGCTACAGAATAAAGGATGGACATCTGGCAAATCTAAATGGATCAAAAAAAGAGTTTGAAGCTAATTTTGGCAAAATTCAGGCCAAAAAAGTAAGACCATTATTTAACCCTGTGGCACCATTAAATGTTGAAGAATGACATACTGACTGATGTTGCTTCTTTCTAGCAGTGCAAGGTGAAACTAGCAAAGACAAAAATTCAGGCAGTTTGTAGGCACCTGTAATTTTAAGAACCTGCTTAGCTTCTGAATTGTGTTTGAGTTATCTCTAAGTAGATAAATTCTGACTCTTGCCATATTATAAATTGTAAACTGTATTCATTTTAATAACTAAAGTTGGTAACTTTTACCTTAAACCATTAGTTCAAAAACTCATGTACCATTAAATGCCGTATCAGTTTGATACTTTATAAGTGAATCATTTCTAAGAAATGGACAAGTGCTTCCTTAATTCAAGGTATGGATACATTTTTATACAGCACATTTCATCTTGCCATGCAAATCCAGTCTTCCTCACTACCCGCCATGAAACATCACTCTAGCTTAGTGTTACATGAAATATTAGCAAACTTCTATACCTTTTTTTTTTTTTTTTTGGAGAAAACTAATTTCATCTTGTGCTTGGAATAAATGACTGTCTTTGAGAACCTAGTATTACTTATCTTAAAAAAAAAAAAAAAAAAAAAAAAAGAACCTACTTGTGTGGTCAGTTTGCTTAAAATTGACCATTATAACAACTCTCATAAAGCACCATGTGCATTTATTACTTTCCTCATTTGACACATGAGGAAACTGAAGCTTAGAGGCGCCACTCAGCTGCCAAGTGGCAGAGTCAAGTTTATTAACTAGGCTTCGACTTCTGCTCAAACCTTGTAAATTGGAAGGATTACTTATGAATTGGCATAAGAGAAGTCACCCCTACCTGACATGCCAAAAGGAATGAGTACTAACAACAAATTTGGGTACATTTATGAAAACCTCTCTATAAAATCTTCTAATTCAAAATTATCTAATTTATATACACTTGAAATAAATGGAGGTTTTTAGAAAACTTTCTGAAAATCCAGGTCTGCCTATAAGGGAAAGTGGGTGATGGTTAGTATTAATTTTAGGAGTAGTGTTTCAAGTTTCCATTTCTGAACCTTGTTCCAAGATAAACATTGCCCAGATAAAGAACTGGCTCCCTTTCAGCTGTGAAGTCTGAACTTTGTAACAAATGCACAGCCAAACAATTGACTCTGACACTAAACATCTGTGCACTATTTGTACATGGTTTAAGTATAATGGAAAAATTATGAAAAATGCAGGCAGTATCCTCACTCTTCACTCCTTCAGCAAATGCAACTAACCCTTACTATCCAAATCTGTTCACTTCCTTAGGACAGTGAGAGGGAGCTCTGTGTATAAGTGCTCTACGATTCTAAAAGTACCACTGTCCACTTCTACGGATGAGGAGACTCAGGGTAAGTCACTTACAATTCTAAAAGTACCATTGTTCAGTTGTACGGATGAGGAGACTCAGGGTAAGTTGTGTAGGAATGTTGATTCAAGAAGAATAGCAGCCAGTACAGTTGTAGCAGGGCTGAGTGATTGGGAAAGTGGCACAAGAGGAGATAGGCAGCACGGGCCCTTCTAAGGAGCAGAATCTCATTCATAAGTGTGATAGGAAACCCTTGGAGAGTTTTTAGTATATGCTTCTTGTCCCAACATAAAGTTTCAGTGGTGCTCTTGCTCTTTCACTCTCAAGTGTCTCAGCTGGGAAGACATTATCTATGATATGGTTACCTTGGTAGTTAGATGTCAATTTTGAGATGCTTACTAGATAGACATCCTCCCAGGGTTGACAAACAGGCAAATGGCTAAGTCTGGAGTTGAGTTACAGTCAGAACTGAAATACATATTTGGGGATCATCTGCATATCTATGATATTTAAAGTGATGGCTCTAGATTAGAGTGCCTGGGGGGTTGGGGGGGAGTGCAGATTTGGAATAGGGTGGTTGGCCAAGCCTGGAAAAGGCTATTCAAATCAAGAAGTTAGTCACAGGAAGATACAAGGACATGGTCAATAATAATGAATGCCACTAAGGGGTCAACTAAGATACAGAGAAGTGATGAATCGGTTTGGCAAAAAGGAAATAATTGGTTCACACTATAGAGTGATTCTGGGCCAGGCACAATAGCTCACACCTGTAATCCCAACACTTTGGGAAGCCAAGGCAGGAGGATCACTTGAGGCCAGGAGTTTGAGACTGGCCTGGGCAACAAAGATCCTGTCTCTACAAAAATTTTTTTAAATCATCCTGGTGTTGTGGCACACACCTCTAGTCCTAGCTTTTTGGGAGGGTAAGGTGGGAAGATGGCTTGAGCCCACAAGACCAAGGCTGCAATGAGCTATGTCTCCAGCCTGGGCGACAGAGCAAGACCCTGTCTCAGGGTGGGGGTGGCAGGGAGTCATTTTGAGAAGAGTGAAAGTGAATATACAATAAAAGGGCATATTAGAAAGTTTGGCCGAGTTGAGTGGCCATGTGTACTTTGTGGCCATTAATTTAAAAGCAGACTAGTTAGTACAGCAGCAAAATTTAAGTGCTCAGATCTAGGCACAGAGAACCAGAGGAAGTTACAGAAATACATTTGTAGCTTACTCTACAAATGAAAAGATTACATTTTTTTGAAAAAAAAAAAAAAAAATCCACATTCTTAGTCAATTATGAAGTACACTGACTTTATATTCCCTTAGGGCAAATCCCATTCCATAGCTTTTGGCTCTTGAATCTCTGACATTGTTTTGCTTTGCCTTTTTTTCCATTCATACATTCTAACTCAGATCTTCCTATGAAACAGAATTTTAAAAATTCAAAATCAGTAACATAGCAGGGGGAGATACTCTTTCATAAAACACTAGAGTCAAATTTGGTGTCCTCTGTGAAAAAACGCTCTTTAACAAAATTAGATTTCCTTCAATTTGGGTAAAATCACACTAAATTTATTGCTGTAGCAAAATGTGGTCACCAAAGTAAATATGATCACCTGAAAGACTTCCAGTGAGCTGCAAATTAGCCTGGTAAATCAAGTGTATGGGCCACACTGAATGTCAACACCAGAACAAAGGCCTAGGTACTGATTAGCCCCATTTCTGTTCCTGGACATAAGCTGGAGAAGTTGACATACACTAATTCAAAAGTAATATGGAAAATTCAACTAACACTGAAAATTAGCCTATTCCATATTTGTAAGGGAATAACGATACTCCCTTCATAGGGCCCTCATGTTGATTAAATTAGAAGTATGGATAGTGCCTAGGAGGTAAGCAGATGCCCAGTAAATAATCAATTCTCTGTAGTCCTCCCCATCCCTTTTAGTCATTTCTTTCCAGTGAGATGTCTAAGTTGGTTCCACAGCTACTTAGAACAGAGAGAAATGCTCCCTGCTTTATAATCCCTCCATCAGTTTTCAAACCTTGTTGTGGACAAAAATTGCCTGGAAAGGTTGTTAAAATGCTGTCCTGGGCCCCACCTTGCAGAGATTTGGCAAGTTGGAGTATAACCTAGAAATCTACGCTCTTAATTAGAGTTGCTTAAAATATATTTGTATTTCATGGTTATGTTAACATCAAAATACATATCCACAGATATGTTTGTACATTACTATCAAAAAATTTTTAAATTGGCTACGGCACTTTCTGAACTACAACGTAACTAAGAATTTTAAGATCACCCTGTTTTAAAGTTTCCTTTATTTCTTTAGATCTTTATGAAACATTCCATCTTTTGCCGATCATAGTGCTTTATTAACAAATTCATGTGTTGTTTTCCCATTCCTTTAATATAAAAAATTATTCATCAGTTATTTTCATCTGACATTTCACTAAGTACAGAATTCATGTCAACATTAGATCAGCCATTCAAGTGGGTCACATAAGTTTATCCTCATTGTGCCAAAAACCCACTCAAACAATAAGCTGAATAACAGATGCCTCCAGGTATATACAACAATCTTAGTTTCTTAACTTGAACTAGTCCTGTTTAACAGGTCAAATTGCTAGTCTTTATAAGTAAACTAAAAAAGACTCAAGTATACAGCTGTACATATCATCAAATGGTTAGTTCATTTCAACAAGAACCTCTATACAGTTTTCTGCTATCATTGCAAAAGCCCCCCTGAACGAAGTTATAGTTTAGAATTTAAAACAATCATCTTGATGATATAAAACATACCAGGTGGCTTTTCTGTAGCAGAAATTAATTACAACCATTTTTCCTAAAGCGATTTTAAAGACAGACAAAGTTGAAAATAAATATGCAAGCATACAGTAAACAAAACGTCTACACTGAGAGATTCAGATACAAAGCACAGTGGAGTCTATAACTGTAGAAGTTAGAAATATAAACTAGCAACGAAGCCGTAATTTCTTCCAAATAGCAGGAAACAAGTTCTCCAATACCATTATTTAGATAATTATTTTGTGTTCACCTATTGATTTAGGTTTTTTTAAATCCCATTTGCCAATGACATTTGACCAGAATCCCAAAAATACCTTAAATCATACAGCATGAAATAAATGACCATTTAATTCCTGATTAGTTGAACGCCTTAATAACTTTCCAGTTTTGTACATAGTAGAAAGGTTCAAGAACCTTTGTAGATTTGCTTACAATCCCTGCTGATATTTACAAAAGCTTTTAAAAGTTATGTTGTATTCTTATCCATTTGTTGATTCCATATTAATATAATTCTCTTAAGTATTTTATAAACAATTAAGCCTCAGGTATTAGAATGGTCTGTTTCAAATTTTTTGGCATGCTATTTTGACTTACTGCAAGGTACCACCCCCGTTTCCTCCCCTCCACTATGTAAAAAAAAAGAAAAAGTTGGCAGAATGGAGACAAATTTCCAGATTTAAGTATAAAGAAATTTAAGATTTTCCCAGGCTTGGATTATAATTCTTGATTGACAGGAATGCCAAGTACATACGCCAATTGTTAAATGTTTATGAAATTAAACATGAAACAAAAAGAAAATAAATTCCAACTAAATCTTATTGCGAATGAATGAGACATGAGACATGTTAATAAGATATGACACATTTATCATCCATAATCAAACACTTCAAATCCCTGACTGAAACTGGCTTCAAAAATGATACAAACTCTATAGGTGCTTTAAAGGACTGTAAGACAGTATGTTTTTAAAGCCTATATAAACCATTGAAGCACTTTTACATATTTTATATTCAAAACTAATCTATGGAGCTCATTTCATTCCACTTACAAGTAAGTCCTCACATATTTGTGGTTACTTTTACCGTGTTTTTAAAAAGGAGTACTGCCAATAATTTAAGACATCCTAAAGATAGAATAGGTGTGGAGTCTTCTTTTTATATTTTGGGTGTTTTAAGTAATTTTTAAGAACTTAAAATTATTTGTTTCTCCTTAATATGAAACTCTTCCAAAATACCTTCTGACCAGTAAGTAAATGTTCTTTAGGCACTGTGAGGTTTATTAATGATGGAGCATGAACCCAGGCTGAGAAGTGTACAATTTAATTTTAACAACTGACAAGACAGTTAAGCACTGTCTTATCCACTGACAGCAGGAAATGCTTTTACCCCACTACTCCTGAGATTCTAAAGAGGGAAAACTAATTTCACAAAAAAATCTTTAAAAGAATCCATAGATGATTCTAAGAACTGCACATATTCAGGGAATCAGAAAAGATGTTTTCTTTTGTAAGGCATCAATGATTAAATTAATAGAATGCATATCTACTAACAAAAGATGGTTAACATTCAGTATCATAAACCATTTATCTTTTCTTTTTAAACTTCTCTAATTCCTGCTAATTTTTGCCAGCTTAAATAAGAAATGAATGCATCTTGGCCTAATCAACTATGGTTATAAAAAACTAAGACATCTGAAACTATTAGGCACATCAAAGGTACGGCTTATGTAATTCAAGGTTCCCTTCTTAAGGGGCAGATGAGTTACCTGGCACATTATACATATGGAACTGTAAAGATCATCTACTAAATTCAACTTTCACATTTTTAGTCAAACTGAAAGACTTATAGTAAATATTCAAACATACCATATCTTCAGTTACAACTGAGTAAGTGTAACATTTTACCAGATAAAAAGCTGGAACTTAAGTATGAGAAACCTTCATCTACTGTGCTCGTATTGGTCTCTTCTTTTTAGATGAAAGCCACTCATCAATACTTTCAACACAGCAGTTTAGAAGATAAACGTCCAAAACAGTTGACTTGGTTGCAGTCCATAATTTAGCAATTCAATGCCACTGGCATTATAGTGCTGTGGAGTGCAAGTGTATCTCCATATTTTAGTCAGATTTGTCTTTCTTCTTTCCTGTTAGGGGCACTTTGTTTACAACAGCGGACCCAACAGCTGTAACACCTCCAGCCACAGCAGATACACCCCCTTTCACCAGCCCTATTCCCATGGAAGGCACAGTTGTAACAGCTGTTTTGGTCACTTCCAGACTCTTTCCACCAATCCAAGCCACACCACCAATGGTGGCACCGACAGCTCCCTTTGTAACACTGAAGATACCCCCAGTCACACGGGACAACATGCCTGGTTGTTGCTGTGGGTGATCTTTCATTGAACCTAAGGAGAGAAAACATCATGAGACAATCAAATATAAGTATGTAAAAGAGCAGTACACATCATTAAGTAACCTAAGCCTTCCTCAGAATCAGGAGATTCATTTGATGAGGCCAACCATACCAATTCAAGGACACTGAAGCGCTCTTCCTTCAGGGTATAGAGCTCTTGGTCTATACAATATCTTCGTTTTTACAATATCTTGGTCCAATGCGAGGTCTTAGTATCTATGACAAGAAATGCTTTAGAGACTAGACAACTTTTGTTAAATAGAATCCTATTTTAAATGTTTCCTTGATTTATGGTTTTATTGTTAATAACCTTTATTTTTCTATCCCAAAAGGAGTATTAAAAAATAAAAAGATAACTATATTTGACCTGCATTTCCTTGATAGGATTTAATCATCACTAAAACAATCTTCTTTGTAAAAAGCAATAGTTACCGAGGTATGGTCTGGGACCACTGGAGATGCCGAAGACCATTTCAGGGGCTCTACTATTTTCATAATATTATCAAATATTATTAAAGTATCATTTGTCTTTTCACTTTCTTTCTGTCATGAGTCTATAGCAGAGGTTTCCAGAATCAGGATGCTATATAACACAACAGACTGAATGCAGAAGCAGCTGCAAGAATGTAGCTGTTTTCCATTAATCCAAAAACTAAAGAGATTTGCTAAAATGTATAAACCAATATCACTCTGCTCACAATTTCCACAATTTTTTATTTTGAAAGTTACTATTCATAAAAATATTGTAATTATGTTAATATGGGTTCTTTTAATGAATATTCAGATTTCTCAGTTTTTATTGCTAATATGGTAAATACTGACAAAGACACAGCTCTTTGGGGCCTCAATTTTTGAGACTGTAAAGACATCCTGAAACCAGAAAGTGTAAGGACCCCTATTAAGGAAATACACTTGGATCTCTCCTTTATGTCTCCCTTACTATTTAAAGAGCTAGTACTATGTAAAAATGAAAAACTGTTCATCATTTAAAATTGTGTCATCTACCTAAAATCATTTTTATTCAGACATAAGTAGGATGAGGAAACTACAGCTATGGTTAACACTTAAAATTACTACCTCAGTCATTGTTATGAAAGAGTGTGTGTGCTTTAAGTATCTAATTTTTTCAAAACTAGAGATATCCCCCATAAAAGGTAATAGCAATATGAAAAACTGAGCTGCATCTAAGTCATGAGTTCGTTTTGTTTTTTTAAAATAAATATTAGCATGTAACCTCAAACTCAGGAATAAAATGACTAGCAGAAAGACTTCATAAAAATTACCACCAGCTTCAAATGAACACAGGACTTTTCTCTTTAGTAACCTAATGATTTAGGCAGCAATAACACACAAGCATTGGCATTTTTCTAAATTTCGTGGAAAATACTTGGTACTTATATAATTCAGACTTTACTTCTAAAAAACTACACTGTCACACAAAAAACGGTAAATTGTTGGGTACATAAGTCCAACTAAGAGCACCAAAACTACTAGAAGCTAGCAGAATGAGGTTCCCAAAGAAAGTATCATGGGGACACTGATAATATTTGATGGAGAAAACAAAAATTTCTGAAAACTTAGCTTTCCAATCCAGAGGGTACAAATTTACCTTGAGATAGTTTTTCTTTTCATGGTTTGGAGATTTTACATTGTATCACAAGTCGGAAAATCTCACTGACTAGTCAAAATCTCTTTGCAAAATAGTGCATAGATACAGATACAGCAATAGCTATAAATTTAAAAAACCAAATATTTTTACTAAAACTACTTAAGTATAATACAAATGTTTTAATGACTGAATTAAAAGACAAGATATAGATGAGCATTTGAATGTATCATTATAAAATTATGATGGAAAGGATTACATAAGTGGCAGTTCTCTTGTAATCAAGGTCACTAGCCCTAGGAAAAAAGGCAAACTCCTGATTTGAGGCTACAACAGATAACTGCCTCAAGCCAAATAGCTCATTAGTAAAACTGTCTTGGCATGCCAAATTTGGTACACATTCATTTGATGAAGATAAATAATTTTTCTTAAATCAGATAAATATTAATGCAGTTGATCTCTTTAATTACAATGTACTCATAATTATCACCATATAAATTATCTGCTTTGCAGATTCCTCTTGTTTAGCGGTTGGCATAGAAAGACATTCTGCTTTGTTCTCTTTCTTGACAATCATATGCCCCTGGATGGCCTTTATTTATCCCTTTCCTGATTTCTTTCTGACAAAGTCCTTGTTAACTTTCTCACTGAACCCTAACTTTTCAAAACACCACAGTTCCAGACCTAAAAATGTAAAGCATGGAAAAGAGCTGAGTTAGTAATTTTCCAGGCTATTCCTCCACCAAACTAAACTAAACCTAATTAGCCAGTTCTTCTGCTTTTTTTTTTTTTTTGGAAACAGAGTCTCACTGTCATCTAGGCTGAAATGCAGTGGCACACTCTTAGTTCACTGCATCCTTGGATAGTTCTTTTGACTTCTTTTTGGCTTAAGTGTAAACTCTTTGTTGCTATTTTCCTAGCAATTTCATTTTGGCCTACCAATATAAGAAATATAGGAAGAAAATTTTAGATAACAGATAACAGAACTAGGAAAAAAATATGTAATACCTAGAGTCACAACCTCCAGCCCTAGTAATCAACATGCAATTCTCCAAGGAGATCACTATTTGGATTAAGTTTTGTAACAGTCTATACCAAAAACATGCCTGTAGTCATTTTCTGTACAGTCAGGACATTCAGGTGTGTGTCCAGGGGTTTTTGAAGAATTAAAATGATTCATGATGTCACAATTTTCAAACTAAAAAAGAATTATGACTTAAAAAGACAAATGAGGCAGACCCCAAGACCATGTATTAATAGAGGAGGAGAGCTACTAATTATAATGTAATGAATAACAGGAGTTTAACAACAAATCTATAATATCTCTTGAATTGGGCTGATTTTGTAATGCAGGATATCAAAACTAAACACAGTCCATCCTTCTTCTGTATCCATCCTCACCCCTTACAAATGAAAGGATACTTTTACTTCTAAAATGGTCTTAAAAGAAGAATGACAGGAAAATATTATCCCTTATATGGTAAAATTGTGGTCCTATTCACCATTATCTGTGTTTTCTTATTAAAGGCTAAAAATATTACCTTCAATTATTTTTGGAACGTATTTACTGACAAGGTAAACAGGTTGTATTTCTTTAAATTTAATAAAAACAATCAGGGTCGGACATGGGGGCTCATACGTATAATCCCAGCACTTTGGGAGGCCCAGGCGGGTGGATCACCTGAGGTCAGGAGTTCAAAACCAGCCTGGCCAACATGGTGAAACCCCATCTCTACTAAAAATACAAAAAAAATTAGCCAGGTATGGTGGCAGGTGCCTGTAATCCCAGGTACTTGGGAGGCTGAGGCAAGAGAATGGCTTGAACCCGGGAGGGGGACGTTGCAGTGAGTCGAGATTGCACCATTGCACCCCAGCCTGGGCGACAGAGCAAGACTCTGTCTCAAAAAATAAATAAATAAATAAATAATATTTTTTAAAAATCAGAACTTTAATTCAGGATTTTTTTCCATTCTTAGTGTTACAGATGCATACTTACCTTCTGGTGGTTCATCATTAAGGTATGATGGGATTTCTTGTTGATTTTTATCTGTCTGATTCATGATCTCCTAAAAAAAAAATGCAAACACATTTCATTTTAACCTCAACATAGGAGACTACCTCTTATCACATGCAAAACTGAGACTTCATCAACATTATTCAGCTAAACCACATTTTATACCCACTGTACAACTAGTCTTCATTTTGTTTCTCTCCTACTTCAAACTGTGACATTTAATAAATACTTCAAATTATACCAGCAGACAACATAAATCTTATGTGAAACACCCACCAAAGAGTGGCAGTCACATTATAAGCTTTCCTAAGTTGTTACTGTGGTGCTTCAACTATAACTGAAAGTTACTCACTGAAAGAGAGCTGGAAGGTAGGGTTTAGCAGACAAAATGTTATTTCCTCCTACAGAATACTGGTTAACTTAACTGTAATTTATTTCACAATACCTAAAGAAAAAAGTATATCATAACTAAAAAAGGTGTTCCCCAGACAGAATGGCTATTATTAAATAGTCAAAATGTAACAGATGCTGGCAAAGTTGCAGAAAAAAGAATGCTTATACGCTGCTAGTGGGAATGTAAATTAGTTCAGCCACTGTGGAAAGTAGTTTGGAGATTTCTCAAAAGAACTCAGAACTACCATTCAACCCAGTAATCCCATTTCTGGATGCACACCCAAAGGAATATAAACCATCTGCCATACATGTGTTATGTTCATCACAGCACTATTCGCAATAGCAAAGACATGGAATCAACCTAAATGCCCATCAACAGTGGACTGGATAAAGAAAATGTGGTACATATACACCATGGAATACTATGTAGCCGTAAAAAACAATGAGATCATGTCCTTTGCAGCAACATGTATGGAGCTGGGGGTCATGATCCTACATGAATTACCACAAGAACAGAAATCCAAATTCTGGAATCTCACTTATGAATGGGAACTAAACACTGAGTACACATGGACACAAAAAAAGTAACAATAGACACGGGCCTGCTTGAAGGTGGTGGGTGGAAGGAGAGGGTCGAAAAACTACCTATTGGGTACTATGCTTATTACCTGGGTGATGAAATAATCTGCATGCCCAACCCCCACAACACACAATTTTACCCATGTAATGAACCTGCACATGTACTACTGACCCTAAAATAAAAGTTGAAAAAATAAATACTAAGCTGTTCTATCTAAAAAAAAGTCCTTAAAAAAAAAAAGACATCCCTTCTCTTATTAAGATTACACCACCAATCTGAATCAGTAACAGATCAATTTTTATGACTTTGTTGTTCTTAGAGCTCTTATGAACAGAGGTAGTAACAGTATTCAAAATTTACTATAAATACAAATATATATATATATATATATATATATATATATATATAATATACTATGATTAAGTTTAAAGTAGTAAGGGAACCTAAGAAATAAAATAAGCTATGCTGCAGTAAAGAAAACATGATTAAAATTTATTTTCCCAATTTCCTTTACTATCGTGAAATACTTCCTTTTAAATTCACTTGAGTAAGTAAAGATTAGAGCAAGTCAAGATTGGTCTAAAAGTGTTCTTTATAATATATTATCTGGCTTGGACAGAAAACTAAGGTTATGATCCCAGCAGTTATACATCCTTGTATATAATATATACATATCTGTACATATATTAATAGATATTAAAAGGGATATTGTGAAAATTAACAATGTAGTTCAATACGTTAATTAACAAACACTGATTGAGCACCTACTCCTGAGCCAAGCAATGTTTTAGGTGCATAGAGTATAGTAATCAATACAGACAAAAAAAAAAATCTCTGCTATCACGAAATGAATACTCCCATGGGGAAAGGCAATAAATAAATACAAAGAGAGTACTGTATGTCAGTGGTATTTTTATGCTATGGAGAAAAAGGGATAGATGAAGAGAGGATGTGATATCTTATTTTAATTAATTAATTATGAGACAGGGTCTCGATCTGTTGCCCAGGCTGGAGTGCAGTAGTGCGATCTCGACTCACTGCAACTCTGCCCCCCAGGTTCAAGCGGTTCTTCTGCCTCAGCCTCCCAAGTAGCTAGGACTACAGGAGTGCATCACCATGCCCGGCTAATTTTTGTATTTTTAGTAGAGACAGGGTTTCACCATGTTGGCCAGGCTGGTCTCAAACTCAGGTGATCCACCCACCTTGGCCTCCCAAAGTGTTGGGATTACAGGCATGAGCCACCACACCCGGCTAGGGATGGATGGGGAAAGGATATGATATTTTAAATAGGATAGTCTGTGAAGCCTTTACTGTGATGACACTCAAAGAAGGTAAGGATACAAGATACTTAGGCCAGGTGTCTTCCAGAGAAGAAATGGCAAGATCAAAAGCCATGATGTGGGAGCTTACCTGGATCAGCAAGAAGGAACAGCCAGTAAAGTGTGGCAGGGTCGCATCAAGGGCAGTAGGAGAGGAAGTCAAGAGTGAGGTCCGGATCAACATAGGCCCTTACAGGCGATGATGGGGAGTGGGTTTTTTTTTTTTTTTTTTTTTTTTTTTGAGATGGAGTTTCGCTCTTGTTGCCCAGGCTGGAGTGCAATGGCGCGATCTCGGCTCACCGCAACCTCCGCCTCCTTGGTTCAGGCAATTCTCCTGCCTCAGCCTCCCGAGTAGCTGGGATTACAGGCATGTGCCACCATGCCCAGCTGATTTTTTGTATTTTTAGTAGAGTCAGGGTTTCACCACGTTGACCAGTATGGTCTCGATCTCTTGACCTGAGAGTGGTTTTTAACTGAGTGAGATGGAAGCTAGTGAAAGGCACTGAACAAAAGAGTAAGGTGATCTTTTAAAAGATCATTCTGGCTGCTGTGGGGAGAACAAGCAATAGGAGAACAACAGCAGAGGCAGAAAGTCCCATTAGGAAACAATTTCAATAATCCAGACAAAAGACTGTTGGTAGTTTGGATGAAGGTGGTAGAGGCAGAGGCTGTGAAAAGTGGGAATTTTCAAAGGTGATTTTTAACTTCATGGAATTCATCTTGTTATGTCTTTAAAATCTAAATCCTATTTAAGATAAGACTTCACTGCATCCCCACTGAGTCCAGCAGCACATGTTCTGTTTTAATATCTTTCAATTGCTCTAGTGAAAATCTTGACTCAGGTCATTTATCAATAGCACCTAATCTTATACTGGTTTGGTTTGAGAATTTAACACATCATACCAAACATAAGATTTAAAAAGTAATAGTAAAGCTAGGTAATCTCTCACAGAAAAACCAGTAAGAATTTCAGCTAATGCATTACTGGGAAAAGAGATTCTTGATGGATGTACCTTAATTTTAAAACTCCCCAAACCACAAAGGCACATGTATTACCATTCACATTTATATTTTCTTTGATCTATCATCATGGTAAGATCATAACACATTATACAGGATGGTGGTTAAGGCTCTGGGGTCAGAGTGCCTGAGTTTGAATCTCAGCTTGACCATACGCTGTATAGCAGAGGACAAATAACTTCATTAAATCCTTGCTGTTTAGGATAGTTAAAATAAAAATCAAAGATAATTCTAACCTTAACCCTAAGATGAGAATACCATTTAACAAATTCCAAAACAAAACATACAGAAATTCCTGGCAGAATGTGTGTGTTCCTTCTGAGAAATGATTATTTTGAAGCCACTTACTTCCCCCCACTAGACTATTAATTTCAAGAGTACAGACACCTTTGTCCAACTTACTCATCACGGTAATCCCAGTACTATATATTAATACCATACACATACACACAAATCCAGGAGATCACCTGGCTTGTCAATCAACAGAAGCTACCATACCCTGTAGAAAAATAATGGGAAATTACATATACCCATACATCTTATATATTTTAGCTGGAGTTTAAATATAGGTCTGATTACGACAGTAACTGCATACATTTCAAAACTGACTTTCTTTGCCTACCCCATAAATCCCTACCAACAGTCTTACCTTTTATTTCTAAGACGGTATCCCTTAAAAAACAATTCTTTTTCTATATCCTATCTTGTAATTAAGAAAAAGATCCCAATTTTTAAAAATTAGTTATTGCCTTATGAGAGCATAAGATATATGCAAATTAATCTAAATGATATGAATTAGCTTCATCCTTTTGTGGGTAGGCAATAAGGTGCCATGAGCAGTTATACTGTCATATCTGTGCCTGAGATGCTTACTGAACCAAGAAGAGATGGAAGGAAAGAGAGATTAATACAGTAAGTGGCTACTTTAGTATAGTCCAGTAAGATAGAATGACAGTCTAAACTGTCAGTTTTTCATGTCTAAATAAATGCTTGAACCAAAATACCAGAGTCACCTTTGAATTCTGCTTTTTTTACTTTCCCATCTAATTATCAATAAATTCTGTTGCCTAAATAAATCCAAAATATAACCACTTCTCACTACCTCTACTGTTACCACTTTAAGTCATAATAATCTCTTATTTGTACTACTGCAAAAATCTCTGAATGGGTCTCTGAGCTTCCACCTTTGTTCTTCTTTCAGTTCAGCCATGTCATACTTTGCTTAAAACCCTCCAACTGCTTTTTGTTTTGCTTAGAATAAAATTCAGAGTCCTTATACCTTTGAGGCCAAATATTTAAACCCCATCTCCACTGTTCTACCTCTTGTTCATTCCAGTCTACTAACACAGAGTTCCTTGTTTATCCTTTCCTCAAAGTCTCTTCCCCAATATATGTACATGGCTCAGGTCCTTCTGCAAATGTCCCCTTATCAGATGCTCCCTGACTACCTTATAATAGATGAGCACCCACCACTCTTCTTATCATTTTCACCTAACCCTGCTCTATTTTCTTCAAACTCTTACTGCCACTTGATATGCATGTCTGTTTACTTTGGGTCTCTCCCAATTAGAATGTAAGCTCCATGAGAATAAAGGCTTGGTTTGTTCACTACTCTATCACCAGAGACTTAATCGATGTCTGATGCATGGTGGACACTCATATACTTGAATTTTTTGTATGAAGTAGAATGTAACATGGGTATTAATGTGAGACGAAAGGGAGAATCTAATGTCATATTTC